CAGCTTTGTAATTTTGTACAAAATTTTGTACAGTTGGCATGCGAAAAGTGGGTATAGGCTTTAAGTTTAAGCGGTCGGCCGAACACGGGAGTTTGTTAGCTACTTCATTTAATCTAAATAATCTTTAAACAGTGGTTAAATGGCAGTTTTAGAAAATCACTCGTTCTAAATAATTTCCGTACGACTCTTTTCGACGTCAGGGTCGTATTTCTCGTAATATGTAAAGTCAGGATTTCTAAAATTTTACATTTTCGAGACCCCAAATTAGGCCCTGAAGTTGATCTTCGAGCAAATTCTACTCTATTATACTTAATCGCCATGTACTCTATCTCAGTAGATTTCATTGTAAAGATTCACTACCATTAATTTGCCCTGAAGTCAGTAAGATAATTTGAAAACAATTTTATATACCTCGAAAAAAGCGTAAATCTGAAAGCCACGCACATAGTGACGAATAGCACCATGTGTACTCGAGCAAACTTATAACCTAGATCCAGTATTGATACTGTAGTCATGCATCGATCTGGTGTCATCATCCATGACGACGGCTGGCTCTTTTTATCTTGTCATGGAATTTTCTCATAAAATCTTAAAAATTGTATGCAAGTGCATGTAATACTGTGGAATTTACGAGTATGAGCAACTTTAATGACTTGTTTTGACTTGAGGGACCGCAAAAAAAATTTTCATGGAATGGTTAAAATTTTAGGCATTCATCATCCTAATAATTAATATGTTATAGTTTTTGTTTCTCTTGAGCAAGTCCTGAACGCGCCAAGTGCTCCCCTGCAGGATAGTTCAGTCGCATGAAAGCATGAAATGAGGACGAAATTAAGCTCATTAAAACAAACTAATAAATTGCTCAATAACTTTGGTGATTATTCGGTCTTCACATGATTAAGCATGAAGATTTTAATGGCTATGGAAAAAGTACCCAATAATATATTGCCGATTATATCAGTTTTCAGGATTCGAGAGAAACGAAAGCGTGATGCCGTAGACTTATTTTATTGGGACATATATATAGGCGAGTTGTGGCCACGCGAGGTAAGTCGAAAAAAAATATTATATCCTATAAGAGTTATGTGATATCTAAGCGAGACCTGAAACATGGTCACAATGGCGAATATCAATTAATAAGATGAATCAACACAATAAATACCGTTTCATGAATATATAAAGAGAGACAGAAAACCAATGAATACGGTGACATGACCGAGTTTGAGTTCCTGACTATATAGGCGTATGATGAATCGGAGTGCAGGAGCGGCAGAATCATTGAATCAAAAACTTTCCGAAAATAAAGAATGTACAACGGATTTTACACTGCACATTGCCAAATCGCTTTTATTTATTTTATTAATACTTACTCACTTATGACTTTAATATAACAGTCATTTAGGGAAACTGGGAGATAGTTGTTTGCAGGGCGGCCGTTGAGAGGTAGCCTAACCGATTCGACACTTCAGCGAACTCGCCTGCGAGCTCGAATGCAAAACCTAACTTCATTTTCAACTCTGGCACTCATAAATCCTTCAATAATGAACGTATTTTATTCAAATTTGAAATATAAGTAGAATAAAATCCGTTCATAATTGACGGATTTATGAGTGCCAGAGTTGAAAATGAAGTTAGGTTTTGCATTCGAGCTCGCAGGCGAGTTCGCTGAAGTGTCGATTCGGTGGTAGCCTAACGCTTTTCTCTACTTGTATTCCTACCGATGTTGTCAGACGACTCTAGGTAAAGTTTGCTCAACACTATTGGACGATAGTGAATTACATACTTATATTTGCCAAATACAAGAAATTACCATTATTATACGATTATCGGATGGTAATATCTATTGAAATGCCCCTGAGTAACTGGTTTAATGTTGCTGATCGATATGCATTTTAAAATATTATGTTTGGTCGTTCACATTTATATGAAGTTAACGGTTAAGAATTGTACGTAAATAAGGCATCTATTATTATTACGATAATATTTTAATTATATGATACTCCTGCAAAAGAAGCTGGAATCACTACAATTTTACACGGTCGGCCTAGCATGGTGGTTTACTGGTTACTTCATTAGTTCATTTCTTTTAACTAATATTAGATACTAGACTAAAACAAACAATATGTGCAAAATATGGAAACAAATGCACAAATTATTACTTGAAACGAATAAATGAACATATCAATGATTTGATAGTTGATTCAATGTAAGACGTGGTTTTGTCAGGGTCACTCCAGAAACAGATTCTTCTTTAACATAGAAAACAATTCTACAGCAATAAAGTAAAATATTCTGAGTGATCCAGGAAAATTCTCCTCCCCATGGGAAACCTCGAAAGAAAAATTTTTACTTCCCATTTATTGAATACTCAATACTTATTTACTTCACACAAGAAATTACGTTATTTGAAAAAAAACATGGTACCGTTAGGATTTCTCAATTGAACAGTTCAGTGTCCGAAACAGAGGCAGCTTTATTACGACGTATCGGAGGTAGCGAAAGAAGAGTACTAAAATTTTGACGCATTTAATGAAGAGACTGAAGAGCTCTTGTTATGAACTGATGACTTCTAGGGATTGTAAAAGGATTGTATATAGAAAATGGTTTGTTAGATGGATATAATGCGAGGTAATGTTTTTTATGCAAGAATTTGCCTCCTCTTCTAATCCTAATGTCATGTCTGGTTAGTACGATTTGGTGTTGATTTGTTGGAAAAAATACCGATGCATGCTTGATGTTTCATGATGAAATGTTAGCGATCAAACACGAATTTTAATGCTATTGGCATGCACTCTAATTAATATCGGTTGTCTAAGTTTGCTCACGTAGCCTGGCAAATTCTTCGGCAACATTCGGCAACAGACCATGGGCCTATTTCTTCAACGCCGACACTTCTATTCTATTCTGTTCTATTCTAAACAAAGATTTAGTGTCAGAATTTTTTTCGGATTCGGTTTTACTAACCCATGAATCCTTATTTATAATAATTGCATAAAGGTAATTAGAGTTGTTATCATTGAATTATTCGGTAATTTTTGTTATTATTAAGAGCGTGTTCTACGTGCCTGCTATGAAGCAGGTAGTGGAATGAGCCGTTTAAACTATAATATTTACTGACCACCTTTATTATCTTTGGGGATGCAGCACCGATCAGCTGCAGCGAACATAAGCAAGAGACGAGTAAAATACCGCCGAGGTCTTACGGTCTTACGAAAGAGATTAAATCATGAGAATTAATTGTTGGCGGCATGCACATTACTGCGATTAAGGTTCGCACTCAAATACGCTGGAGAAAACAATTATATGGCACAAGTTGAAAAGAGTTAAACGACAGCATTAACTGGAAAGCAACATTTAGAATGAACGACCTTAATTTATATGGTCAAGTGATTTCTGAAATTGTAATCGGTTATTCGCACGAGCTTAAAAAGATATCATTTCAAACGAAGCTTACCGCGAATAGTGAAAGGAACAACACTATAACAAAATTTTTCTTCAATGAAATTGATAGATTCTTTATATTCACTCACCTTCTTGTACGAAAAATCGATGTTAAAGAATTTAAGTTCTGGTGCAAAAGTTTACCCGGAGCGTATACAAGTTGTTTACGATAAAACCTCCAACGCATATTAAACAGTTGCATGTTGAAAACAAAGAGAATGTTTCATTAATTCATTCATATTTCTTCAATGTGCACATTGGATCTTACATTCCGTGTACCATAGAGTTGCGTTTTTTTTTGCTGCAGAAAACAACTCAGCGAGGATAATGGGTTTACTTTTTATGTGCCGGTCTTATTTTGATGTGTCGGTTCTATCCGCTGTACGTGTAGAATATATACGGTCAAATGCCTCGGGCTCAGCGCTAAAAATAAAAGGCTACTTGAGCCTGAAATCCCAAGAGGGAGGAAATTGGGTGTTATAAATATTTATTTGCAATCTAGATTACTTGCATTCAATGACGGTTATGAAATAGCTGCAATGCAGCTCTTCCACTGACCGTTATTGTACGAACATTTTATAGTATGCATGTTAGTGCTTTAGTTAAAGATTCTATTGGAAAATTAGAAAGAAAGTTCCAATTTTATTATCGTCAGAATCTGTGCGATAGTCAATTAAGTTGACTGTTCGGATAAACAAGGCAATGTGAAACGATCTTGCGTGCCGAGGTTCAATAATAAATTCAGATTCAAAGACAATTTACATTAATTGGTGCTTACAAATTCGCACAAACCAAAGTTTTCTAGATTAAAGTTAGAGCACAGGAGCGGCAAGGCGTAGGTAAAGGCTTGTTAGGCAACGGTGACTCCTTACAAAGAACAAAGTCTGTTTAACGATCAATTCGATATAGTACTTAACACCGATATGAAAATAAATCCTCAATACAAAATTAATAACACCATAAGAAGCAAGATATGACACAAGTACAGTATCAACAGATACAGAAGAGGTTATAAAGACCTTAGAACATTATGCGAACCTTAGAACCTGCTCTCCTAATTCTACATTCACCACATTGGTTCCTTTAATCTGTTTCTTCGTATTGTTGTCTAAAAATCCCGAATAAGTTTCCTACATAATGCAATACAAGTGTTTCTTTTACAGACGTCGTGAATGATGAGAACATTTAGTCTTGGCTCTAATTTGACACGTCGTGGAGCAGTGCCGTCAAATAATTGTAACAGAACCTGTAGATGCACAAAATATCAGTAAAATTTTAAATTATAACACATAAAAAATATTTCTGTGGCCTTTTTCAAATAATTTCATTCAATATTTTCAAATGTGAAACATTTGAATTTCCTAACAATAAATTTCTTCACTGGACATGCATCCACTTATTCTAAAGCTTATTTTTACATTAGTTTGGCCAATATACATACGTATAAAACTGGTGCGCAAGAGGTTGTCACACTGACGCTGGACATTCGGTTTGTGAGGAAAATTTAGTCTGAGCCTGTAGGACTTCCCTTCTTTCGGCAAGAAATAACTTTTCCTCAATTACCCCTCTCCTCCTGTGGCTATAGGAGCGAGCAAGTTTTCCTCAACTACTCCCCGTGCGGCTATAAGAACGAGTCATACCTCACGCCCGATTTGATTGTTCAAGCGGCCTTGGTGAATTTTACTTCGGTTTTATGAGTCTGTCAGAAAATCTCAATTTAGAATAAATCTGAATTCTAAGGTGAAGTGGCATATTCCAGAAAACCGTTTTCGTAGTTATATCGGACGTGTTTATTGAATAAAAAATGACTCAATTTTCTGTTTTGAATCTTCTCGCGGGATTTACGGCCATACTCGCAGGCACTTTTTTTAAGCCCGTTAGATATCCTACGAATGTCATGCCTGATGATATCATCGTAGACTTCATAGTCGGTGAGTTGCATAAATTCATTATTATGTAGTATGAAGTGGAACATCTGCTTGTAGAACTAAACAATAATTCGTTGAACAACAAACACTCCCCAATATCAGTGTATTGATAAATTGGTAAGGAAGATCAATAGCTCTCCCATGTATTTTACTGGTGGGATAACTCCGTGTTATTGCGATAATAAGTGTTGTCAATGTTGCCTTAGAAATAGTATCACGGCTCTTAAAAAATCAATATAGGTGTGCATATGATAAAAATTACTTCTCAATAATTTTACCGGCTCCCTCGTCAAAGAAAAACTTTAGTTTAGAATTCTTAACCTCACAATTAAAGTAATTAGGACTAAAGTAGTCAGTAACCACTGCTTTAATTCAATAAATTCAAATTTTCGTCTAACTACTGGCAAGAAAGGGTGGACAGAATAGATTTTTAACATTTTCGTAGAGTTAGATGATAGTAATTTCCATGAGCCTTTATAGAAAAATTTGTAGGACATAACAACGGTAACGTTTGATGAAAATATGACAAAAACGTTATTTGTGATATATTTTTGCCATTTTATCGAACTGTCTACAAATAAGGGTAAATAATTGCGTCTATCAAGGATTTATTCGAACAAGGCATCTCTTTAAAACCGTTAAAACCGACGTTTATCGAGAAAATGCTAGAAAAGTTGCACACTATACGAACATCGGGTTGCAAAAATTTTGGCCCTTCTGATATCAGTTGATATAAAATATTTACATAATATATCATAATGCCTGCATATTGAAAATAATTAGCCAGGATAGCATTCCAAATTTCAGACTTGTACACGACCAGACCTTTGGTTGTCATGCTCTCCTGCAGGCAATAAATATTCTCTTCAAGGTAAGCATGCACTCTTATTTTTCCCTGCCCACTGGTCTTGTTAATAAATTAATCATTGAATTAAATGAGCTGGAATATAGCATTTTAAATTCTATACGTACATGATCTGTGCAGTAATTAGAACTTTCATGTAAATGTGTAAATTTTTATCAGAAGTTTGTCAAATACTGTTAAGACATGCATTTAAATTGATATTCTATTTCCGTAGACATTTTTTAAAGTCTAAAAATAAGCGTGTAACAACACATTGCACATTGCTTAATAATCTGTAATATTAATATCAAACTGAATATTGTATCAGCCCACTGAATTATTATCATACTCAATTACTTATTTAAATTATTATTACTGTGATTGTAAAAATTATGATTTATATGATAATTAAAATGCAAAAATAAATACTTAATTTTAAAGCAAATAACAGGAGCGAAAACCATAATGATGCGAAGTACCATGGAACGGATTACCATTATAAAAAAAATTTGCAGCTATATTTGCGCAACTCCTACATTAGTATTACATGAGACTACATGTTCAAATAATGTTTGTATCCTATTTGTTGAAGTCAAAACATGCGCAGTGGTTTGTGAGGGAACCGCAAGCTCATAAATCTCTCTCTCGGCGCTGTCAAGTGCCCCTTCAGTGCCTTCTATCCTTCCCGGACCGTGGGTGGCCAGCGGTCGGCCAGATCAGGTTAGCTTCGGCCGCCCGCTGGCAATTCACCGACCACCTAAAGCCGCCCCTTGCCTCAAACAATATCCTTGAGGCCGGGGATGTGTTAGCCACAAATATGTGGCTGAAGTGATAACGAGACCAAGGGCTGGTGACGGCCGAACTTACACGCGAGTGCAGATTTTACAAAGATCTGCTGGTCTCAGGGAACTCGGACTTCAGGGAACTCAATGTTACAAATTATAAATTAGTTAAAATTTATAATCATAATATAATAATTATATAATATAATATATTATCTAAATAATATAATATATTATTTATATAATATAATAATTATGTCAAATTATAAATTAGTTCACATTAGTTAACAAATGTATGTCTCGACGTAACTAAAGAATCCCTGCACAATTGTTAGTGCAGTTCATACCTCACTATTCTCGTGCACCCTCGGCCACGTCACTACGCAGCCAGACACTGCCGCTGAAATTTACCCTCAGTTCGCCCAGTGTGCCGAGCTTGGAGTTGGAGCGTCCGTGAACAGCCCTCTTAAGGCTAATACTGAGTCACAGTGCGGCGAAGTCCAAAAATGAGGGACTCGCGACTACGATGTGGAACCCTTGTTCTGTGTTCAGATCGGCAAGTTGCTACGCTCGAGCTGGTTGCCTTTGTAATATGATATCTGCAAGCCAGTACCCATCTTGGGCTGCGGCCGGCTTACAGGTGGCCGAGGAATGGCCTGCGGTCGGCTAGAACTAATTGGCCTCGGCCGACCACTGGCCATCTATTATTACACGCCTCTCATTGAGCTCCCCTCCATCACAAGAGTTGCAGGCGGGTTATTTACGACGTGAATTTCCCCTCATTCTTTCCCCAACTCCTTCATCAAAATTGCGGCTACCAAAGAAAATGTGAAATCTCCGATTTAGCAGTGATGAAAAAGTCTTTTGTTAGAAAATATCTTAAAGATGGAGGTTTATTCTGATATGCCTTTAATACCAACTATTAGATAATAAATAGTATTACCTCCGTTTGTTTCACAAATTTAGGTCAGTCGCATGTAAAATGAACATCGATGTACAACATTTTCCTCTATCATAACTAATTTTGTATAAAGTTTGAATATTTTTTTGTTTCTGCAGAAAAATAACAAATAAATAGCGGAATAAGCATGAAAAAAATTCAGATTGATATTTCATTTACGCGCGGAGGAGTAATGACTAAATGATTTGTGAAAAAATCCCTTAGCGATCCAACTATCCGAGCCTGGCTGAGAGCTCGCGGCTGGATCGCTTTGTGGTGCCCAAGTGGCAACACTGGCAACAGGCAACACTGCATCACACTTGAAATCAGAGAATCGCTATCTAGACCGAGATTGTAAGACCAGTCGTCACCGGGGTCGAACGTAAGGCCGCCTCCTAGTAGTAGCGTAACAGTCTTTCAATGTTGTTTTTGCAGTTAATTATTCTGATAGTTATTTATTCTTTTTGTTGCAGATTCTGTTTATTTGATAGGAAAATTCCCCGATAAATTCAGTATAGACCTCATTAGAGGTGAGTTCCATTATTTCCACTTGTTAAGATGCGATTGAAAGCAAACTGTCATATTGTAATAGCTAATAAGATATCTTTATTTATTTGTAATAAAACTTGTATCCTCTACAGGTCTAAGAAGTAGGAGGAGCAATTAAAACTCAAATAAAATATTGTTTCCGTTCTACTCCTCTTCAGCTTCTCAATCAGAGCAGCTAAACTGAAAATCCCTTGCTACAGACAGCACGTTCAAGCTATAATGAAAATAAATAATAAAGAGCGCATGTTCAAGCTAAACTGAAAATCTCTAGCTAAATGCCGCATGTTAAGTTCAAGCTAAACTGGAAAACACTCCAAAAGCCACACATTCAAATAAGATGGTTGTGTTAACGAGTTCCCAGCACGATAACACTTTTTTTTGTGCCCTAAAACCTGATGCGGTAGTTTACATTCAGGATTGTTGTAATAAAACAGTGTTCAGTTGCCCAAGCGTGCGCTGGTGAGTTTATGGGTGAATGGGAAAAAATGTCGATTCGGTGTCCAACTCAGGCTGATGCACACTGCGCACAACTATATCTGTAAACCGGAAATGATAACATGTATGTATATAGGAAGAATAATTAGAATTATTAAATGAACAGACAATGCCAATATTATTGACCAATTATCCACACAGGTTAACATTAGGTAATTATCCTACGATGTTGGACTATATTCGCCATTCGGTTATACGCCAAGTATTACGTTGAAGAAGTATCGCTCACGAACTGTAGATCAGACAGGCCACAGCTCCTTGTACACTTGTCTCTTCCATTCGTATTACGCTTTAGTCTTTTTCAGAGTTCGCTCCATCAATTGCTCACGATCAACAACGTCAATTGCTCACGATCAACAAATAATACCTAATAAACGTCAAATTAAAACTAGGCAATACACACGAATTCAAGTGTCATCATTAATCATTGTTTTTAATATCAATGTTCGACCACTTTAGTATTAAGATATTATAAATAGGAACATCGAGACAGTAAATACTCAGGAGCCAGTACTAACTATTGAGACTCAAATAATGGAATTATTAGTTCAAGTTGCGCATATTTTGTGAATTGTATTATTCAATCAAAAGAGTGGCAACACCTCACCATCACTTCAGACTGATCGTAGCGTATTATTTACTCGCGAGAGCGCTGCTGCAGTGAACACATATTCCTCGTGTCTCCTTCGTTATCGTTTCTTATAAAGGAAGTTTTCTTCTCGTATTATACCGTTTGTGAATTCTTCGGTTGTCGGGAAATGTTTTTCTACTTGAATTATGCTGTCATTCGTGTACGCCGACCCAGCTGATTCCTATTCTAGAACTCAACCTCAAAACTCAGCTCAACATATTTTAGAACTCAACCTCCATGCCGCTAAATTCATGTTAAAAATTGGGTGCCATAAGTGTTATAACGAATTTTAAGAGATATAACTGATAATTAATGGCTAACAATGTATTTATCTCCTATGTGATAATTGATTGTTCCCTGTGTGTATTAGATGTTGACGCTTGATACAAGAAGAAGTACTATCTATAACTGCTAACATTCTAAATGTTTGAGCATAATTTCCTTTTTTAATTCTGTGTTATAATATGAACTATTTATTCAAAACTTCCCCAGTAATTATGTTTTTTTATATTTAATTATTGCTAAACTGTCTAGTGATTATTATAAATTGAAAAGAACTTAACTTCACGTAGCTATGCCAATAATGTTGGTATTCTTAAACCATTTGAATTCTGCCATAGTTAATCCTACTTTCCAGAATCAACTACCATAATTAATTTCAGGTCTCAATCGTGTCTCACTTTAACATAACCTAACTCAAAACCCGTCATGACCACGATATGAGTCTCGTCCGAACAAAGTGAACAGATCTCACACGAACATAATCTCGATTGGTCCCATTCCTGCCACTATCTCCTCTCTCGCCAGCTCGTCACTCTCACGCCCATCTATCAAAATAAACTTATAGTATTTCGTTATTTAGTTTTAGCCTTCTTCATTATCCCAACTTGGTTAGTTATTTCTCAAACTTAGGGGTTTTAGGAAATTGAGTTGGTATTTATTTTCGATTGCACAACGTGTGGTCAGTTACTTTTTAGTTACGGGGTGCATGCTTTTTTCCCCTTCTAGTAATAAAACTATGACACAAGCGAAATTAAATGGAAATTTCAAAAATTTAAACATACACTTACAGGCAGTGTATGTATTCCAACATCAAGCTTCAGTAAAGAATTAAGACCATCGATAAACTCACTAAGATTGTTCAAAATTTATACATATAGATAAAGACTTTTAAGTAGAGGTGCTCTGCTAGGAAGTACATATAAGAAAACGCTGCAAGAAATAAAATGTTTAAATTCTTTGAACATAGTTTCAATATAGAGTTAAATTATGGTAATGAGAAATAAATAATTTTAGTACCATCAACTTTGGAAATAAGTTAAAAATGTTGCGTTGTCATTAACTTTTTAAATTGAGTAATACATGGATTGACTGTATCTCATTCAAGAGAAAAAAAAATAGTTACAAGTTCGTTGTACGTCAACCTATAAATTACAGATTTTCAAGAAAACCTACCAATACTAGACGAGAAATAGGCCGCTACCTGTAGTTAATTAAGCATATTTTGACAGTACGGCGCCTTATGTCCATGGTTAATTTTAGATTCTTTTCTTCAACATCCGCTGCTGCAAACTCAAGGATTGTAAGGCGCATTTATTTTTGGGGGGAAACCTTGCCTGATAAATGCGAATTGTTTTTGTCCGCTTGAAATTTTTAAAGACCATATAGGGATGCTAAAAAAATATTCATCGATTGAAACCATGGTTAGGAGAGTAAACGATAGTACAAATGATAGTAGTAATAGAGAGCTATTGATACTTCTATAGTTCTAACAACATTCATCTGACTCTTCTTGCAGTGGGCTCAGGCTCGACGGGGAGTGTGGTGGCTGGTCGGCTGGCCGAGATTTCGGAATGGGATGTGCTGGTTTTAGAAGCCGGAGGACAACCTCCAGCTTTTGCCAAAGTTCCATTCCTCCACCTCGGCTCAGAGTTTCCCAACTCCTCATACATGAACTATTACAAGATGCGTCCTCAGAAATATTCTTCTCAATTCGCGAAAAATACCGTAAGAGCTTAAAATAAGAAGAATTTGTCATTGATATTACATTTTTAGGTAAGAGTCCCAATCTTAATTTCGATTCCGAAACTTTATTCATTCTACTCGGATTTACCGTTTCCCTCATATACATAAACATGACTGTGCTAAAAAAGTTTCAGTACGGCAAAATATTACCGGACCATTTTTGGACAGTCAGATAGCATCAAGAGGTTGATTTATTGAAGCCGCAAACGGCTCGTGGTCGCGAACTTTTGAAGGGGTATAATGGTTGATGAGGTGGTCAGGTTAACGATGAACGTTTTAGGGATGTGAGTAATTGCTATAGGGGTATGGATATGGGGATACGGGGGTATAGGGATACGAAGATATGTGGTGCGGGGATACGGGAATATGGGGCATTGGGTATATATGAAGATATGGGCATGGGGATATGGTTGTTCGAGGTTGGCTCTCAAACCTTCTACAGGGCGATTCACGGAAACTTCCTGATTTGAAAGCTCAATATGAAAGACATAGTAAAGGTATCATTACAATATAAATTATATTGAAAACTACCTGGATATTTATATCACTTAGTTTTAAAGATGGCGTCGGACAAATGACGGCCCTCATTGTCAATGCATTCAATTAATCGATTTTTGAAGTACCATTCAACTCGCTGAAACATATTGACAGGTATGTTGGCCTTGACTTGGCGTATGTTGTTCTTCAAATGAAATAGGTTTCTTTGACAATCTTTGTCAACAATTGGTTCAAGATAATCCCATAAAAAATCACACGGAGCCAATGTGGGGAATCGGGCTGGACAAAGAAAGTCACCTCTTAAGGAGATGAGGCGCTCTGCAAAATGTTGTCTCAGTTGATCCGTTAAACATCGCGCTGTGTGGGCCGGGCGGCTTCATCCTGTTGGAACCAGACATCCCTGACATTCATTTCAGCCAGTTTTGGCAAAAAAGGCGTCAATTGTATGCGTGTACCGAGCAACAGTCACCGTTACTGCGCATTCGTTTCCTCAAAGAAATAACAGCCAATTATGTGGAATTTTTACTCCGCACACCACGCAGTTACGCATTGACAATGAAATAGCCGCTGATGGAGTTCACGCGGATTGTCATCACTCAAATAACGCATGTTTTGCCTGCTTACTCTGCCGGAAATGTGGTCTAAATGTATTCACCCACGTAATAATCTATTTCGGGTCAGGAACTCGAACTGAAGGATGAATACGAAACCGAGGATGAAATGCTCGTTGAGTTGCTCTAATGGAACAGCCATTAGCAAAGTACGCTTCGAAAGCAAACGCACGCTGCTCACTTGTCCAATGCATAGTGGCAACTGACTAGGCGATACATAAATCTTCGTGGCCGTGCCTTTCATGTCATGTGAAATACCTTTCGTTCTTTTTCTATAACATCAGCCTGCTTATACAAAATAGGAAGTTTCTGTGAATCATTCTTTAGGACAACCCGATCGGATTTGAAGCGTAGCTGGTGGCGTGAGGGAGTTGTTTGAGGTAGCAAGACATAAGTAGAAAATTAATGTCGCAGATATTATTAAAAGACTACACACATAGACATGGAAATGAAACGTGTTTAATATTGGTAACAGCAAAAGAGTGCGCTGGGCCTCGTTGCCAACAAGGGCAGGCCACATTTACGCCCAGTTTGTTCGTTGAATGATATTGTATAGCAAACTGTGCAGTCCATTTTGCTTTTTCCATTTAGGGAGGCCTGTACCGGAGAGGAAAAGTGATTGGGGGATCAGGCACCATCAATCAGATGATGCACCATCGCGGTATTCCTCAGGATTACGAAAACTGGGCAGCGCAAGGTAATCCAGGCTGGGATTATAAAACTGTCCTGAAGTATTTCAAGAAAACTGAAGACTACAAGGGTCCTCTCAAGTCCCGAGATGGTGAGAAAAAGACTAATCTTATTGCTGAAAAACTTACACCACGTAGAAATTTGGAATAAATTGAATTTCGATTGAACTTCGTCCAGGAATTGGATTCCTTGGCAGTAAAGAGGTGGAATTTTTGGACAGAATGGACACGTGCTGAAGTAAAATGAGTTGGATCGAACGTTTTGATCTCTTTTTGAACTCTTGATCTGTCAAATAGTTTAAATAAAACAATTTTAAAGCCCTCTTAGTCAATTTCAACTGTGATGGGGAGTCACATTCTAGGCCAACTGTACTGATTGATAATCGAAGTTGTCTGGCATAAATGATGTTCGGTCTTTACCAAATCGCTTCTTCATCTAACCTATACAAGTAGCTAGAACTCATTCAATTGATTTCTACTGTGTACAAAACAATTAATTTTAAACATTTGCTAGTAATTTGATTGATAAAGCATTTAAATTTGGTGCAGCTCCATTCCGAGCTTTTGGAGGTCCTATTGGCGTGGAGAAGGTTGCTTGGAAGCCTCCAGTTTGTCGGGTGGCCATCAGAGCGGGCGAGGAGATGGGGCTGGCTGAGGTGGACTACAACACAGACACAACTATTGGTGAGAAATGAAAACTTTAATATTGAACTCGATCCATGTGCTCCCAAACATTGTTAAAATGAACGACACGTGAAGTGAAATCGTTATCACTTGAATTGTTGAAGATTATCTAGCCTTATACATAATGTTGTTGACGCTCATAAGAATTAAACTTAATTTAAAAACTCAATTTAGCAACTCAAACTTAATATATACTCTGAATAAAACTATTCAATCTCAACGAAATACTGTTATCGGTACTATGTAACTTCTATTATATTAGTGTGAGAATTCATTTCATTGAGGCTTCCATGAAATTGACATATCCAAATATTTCCAACTTCTACCTCCAACAAGGATTTATTTTCAAACAGAATTAGTTTCATTATAACTGTCACACTCTTTGTTTATAATCATACAGCTTCTTTCAAATCAAAGAAGCGGTAATCCTAAATCAACATGTAATCTTCTATGCTTACACAGAATTTTAAAATTTTCACACTTTTTTATTATATTATTAAAATGTAAATTTTATACAAGAGTAGTTAACTCTCTACATGCGAAGCTTAAACATTTTTTTTTGCTTTTTAACTCTTCAGGATATATTAATATATCAATGGAGGCAAAAAGCAATGGAATTAATTGGAGTAGTTTTCTCTCTGAGCACTATTGACGTGCTAATTTTCTAATAACCATGCTTCATATTTTCACCTTTCAGGCAGCGCTATCTTCCAACTCACAACCAAAAACAGAGAAAGGGTGACCACGGCAGACGCATTCTTGTTGCCTGGCCTACGACGTCGGAACCTTAAACTGCAAATCAACTCCCAAGTAATAAAGGTAAGAAATTTTGCGCAACTAATGCAGTCATACAGGTTATTCCTTTGAACATATAATAGAGGTGTAGTTGGTGGTGTTCTTGCACGATCCTCATCTTCAAGCAGAGATGAGATCAAATTTGAGAACCTATACACGTGTCTTAATGTGTTTGATTCATATCACGCATATGTAGAATTTAGCTTAAATCGTAACGAGATACAGCAAATGATTATCAATATCCACTCATTAGTTGACTATCCAAAGCAAGTATCAGCTTTGAAATTAGCTTGTGATATGTTACATAAATTTGCTGAAACTGTTTATTAACTATTTTTCATTGATATGAAGTATTTTTTACTCCAATCTAGATAATCATGGATGCTGAAAATCGGGCAATTGGAGTGAAATATGTTCATAAAAATAAGGTGAGGAAATGGATCAAATGAATGGTATACTCCTGTGAACTAATATTTAAAAACATTCACCTGTATTGTATCTCTCATTGCTTAGACCGTCCTTTGATTCAAACGTTTCTTGAAATTTCAATTAATAGACAAGAATGACGCTAAATTTTTGAATAAATTTCAGTTTTTCTCTGATTTTTAATTACATACTCATCCAATAGAAATAGAGGGTAGCGCATCGATGGTTATTGATGGGCGCGTGGTGGATTACAGGTGGCGTAACGATGGGTGGCCAATTCTGCCAACAATCGACGGTAAAACACCAATAAATCGGGAGCTAGGCGAGTGCACCTAATTTCCATTGATTAAACTCATCAACGATTTATAGGATCTGAATCATCGATTGCGCATTGCTGGCTAACCCCTTGTAAGCCACCGTTAATGTGCAACATAGGCTGAACACGCTATCGATGCCGCATCGATGTCCCATCGGTGCTTCATCGATAATTTCCACCTGTAGGCACCAATAATTATCGGTGCTCCACCTATAATTTTCATTTGGGTCTCGTTTATGACCTTTCTTTTTTTTAAATAATGAACATGAGCGATTACCCTTCATGAATCTACAAGCAATACGAAGAATGAATTTGCTATGCGCTCGGATGATTTATTTTTAATTTTAAATACTGTTGATCATTGACGTTGACTTCATCAGAAAAATATGTTTCGTTTAATGGTAATTTTTATATGATTGCGACTGCATCTGAAATTTGAATAACCTTTGCGTAAGTTATCGGATATTAGAATTATATTGATATGTTTAATTGTCATTTTTGAATTTTATATAGAAACATATCATGATCAGGTGAAACGAGCGTTCGCCAAGCGAGAAGTGATACTATCAGCGGGCGCAGGGGATTCTCCCAAGCTGCTGATGCTGTCGGGGATTGGGCCTAAAAAACACCTAGAAACGCTAGGGGTGAGTAAAATCCGAAGGAACAGGCGACAACTAATTTTAGATTAGATGAATTTAGATTAATCTAAACTTATGTACATATTCGTTGTTTGATTGAAGACCAGAGCATGCTTTTTATTAACTATCTTCTTGTTCGTTTTTTCAATGAGTCGAACCAAATTTCTTGCTGGCGTCGGGAGATCGAAAAGCAGGTTTCCGAATGACATTTTAATAGTTTGCATTTATTTTATTGTATCCACTATACCATTCATATGTACTTCTGTCATTTCCAAATTGAATTTCAAGTGTTGTAAAACCTTCACCAGCTTGATAATGAAAATTGTATTTTCGAAACGTCGCAAACTATTAAAATGTCATTCGGAAACCTGCTTTTCGATCTCCCGACGCCAGCAAGAAATTTGGTTCGACTCATTGAAAAAACGAACAAGAAGATAGTTAATAAAAAGCATGCTCTGGTCTTCAATCAAACTTGCATAAAAGAAAAGCTTCTGCCTAACTACACCAATATTCGTTGTTCTGCACCATTTGTTCTTCAATCACATATGAGAGCACTACTATACTACAATACATAAAAACATGATAATTAGTGACATAAATAATTATTGTCCATTGCAATGCCTATGTTAGCTGATGAGCTCCACTTCTAAAATGATATGCAATATATAATTAACGACAATAGTGCAACGAAAAAGCAATGATGAGAACAGGAAATCGCAAGTAAATAACAAAATCATCTCATTATACCAACTCCGGATAGAACAGAGAACAGCATGTAACTAAAGCAAAATATAATAATAGCTCCTGTTAAAAACTGAATAAACCTGAAAACAATGTAACACTGCAAGAAAACTAACTTCATAATCAAATTAAACTCAAAACTAGGTAAAAAAGAATCTCGAGATATTGATTTTAAAAACATTTGGCAGCAATTAATTTTAGGGCAATGGTCTGATTGAAAGATCAATTTAATTTTGTCTGCAGCCGAGGATTTCGAAACACTATCGCACGCTTCATTGTACGTAATGTTCGAGACGGGACAGAAAATAAATAGAGCGTCAGCAGAAGAAAACGTAGCTTACCTAGTTTGCTAAATGTAGTATTTATTCCTGAGCAAGAAGTTGGAATGAGAAAGAAGGATGTTTTACAGGAAAAATGCCATCAGTCATATCATTGAGCGCACGACTATACGAGTTTCTTTACTTACGTCATCATCAAACTTCATAATTGCTTAATTCAATAGCTGCGTAGGTACCGAATTTGTTAGTTTCTTGTCGAAATCAAATAATTTTGTCGGTGAAACTACTCGCTGCTAAGTTGTTAACAGTTTGCCGTCGAGTCTTCAATTCATTCAATTTCTGTGGAAGTTTACAGTAGTATATCTCCTCAATTATCTTAACGCATTTAAGACATTTCAGTGAGTGACGTACCTTATGCGAAGAACCATTTCAGAGCGAGAAAGCTGTGTGAGTTTTTCGTTTATAAATTAAATATGTAAGAAAAAATATTATTAATCGGTCCAGATTGAAAGTCGAGTCGACCTGCCGGGAGTTGGACAAAATTACCAAGACCACTTAGTTGTCCGCGGAATAAGTTGGACCATTCATCCCAACATTTCGTCTTCCATTTTCGAACGGATCGGGCCGGGTGCCATGCTGAACTATTTTGAAAGGAGATCAGGTAATTATTCCACCTAAGGCTGTTCACAGAAGCTCCCATACACGAGTCTCTTGTAATTATGGTTAATAATGAGTTAACCCTTGATGAGTAATAAAAATTTGTAATGGGCATATTAATTATTAATAAAATAATTATACTTTTGATAACACTTAAATTCTTTTGTAGTTGACATCCTCTAGATTATGTTATTGTTGTTGTATATATATCTCGAGTAGGTATAAGAAACCTTTTTTTGAATCGGCTATTGGCGCTGCCAGGGCTCGTGATAGGTTATAAGTATTTATTATGAATCTACAATATATGAGTGCAAGGCAATAACACACTGGCAGAAAGAATTCAGCAAAAAATAAAGACGAAATATCACGACAGCAGAACGGAATACACGCGCAATCAGCAAATTATTTTGGAGAAGGGAGCGACGAAATGAGAAGGGAAAACGACGGTCTGAAACCATAGGTTTAAAACATGTGCTATCCTAGACTGTCTTGAAACTTGAGATGTGGGAAATTTAATTTACACGAGCTATTAATCAAAAATATTCCTTCACTACACTTCCATAGACGTGGATAGTCTAATGCGCCATCACAATAACCGCCATACTTAACAACCAACAATATAAACTTCAGTACAAAGTCGACAAACTATACATCTACCTTTTGTTTACAGAAACACTCTCAAACTATCTCACAGACCGAACAACATCTATCAGAACATAAAAATGTATAGGTCCACCGCTTCGCTATACCGAAATGAGTCCCTCCCAAAGAGCTTGCCTCTTCCACACTCTCTACAGACTTTGCACCATTATCTCTCACCACCAAACCATCACCACACAAGACAGAACGACATTACACAAAAACACTCCGTCCATTTGAGGAATACATTCCAATTCCTCACACAACTCATTGAAACCCCTGTCACACACCGCACCCATCTGGACAGACTCCCTCAGCATCCCCAATGCAGAATCCGGGAAACAGAGGGATCACAGTTACTCTCAACGTCCCTTTACCTATTTTGCTCAACTTTTGAAATTCTGCTGCTACTCCTGCTCTCAGCCGCTCCGTCTCAACTTGGTTTCAAACCCGGCCACTCTACAGTCACTACGCACCTCCCTCTTTTGCACCGAATCGCAACCGGCTTCAACTCTAGACGGCCTCCTGCCCGCAATGTGGCAGTCGCGAACGACCTGTCAGAAGCCTCCGACGGTGTCGACCACTTCTTTCTCTTATACATGATTGCAGAATTTACCCTGAACCTATGTTTCTGCTTCTACCTGCAATCCCGGTCCCCTTTCAGGAGCAGAGAAAACGGAGTTCCTCAAAGGTCCGTCATCTCCCCAGCCCTCTTCATCCACTTGATTTCTGACTGTCCTGTCCCGACCACGACCAGCGCCTCTTACGCAGACAACCTCACCATATTTATCACCTCTCACAGAGTCACAGAGTAGACACCTCGGAGGAGGACCTGGCAGCGCTGCTGTTCGGCGTCTCCGCCTGGTCCACCGCCTTAAGATTGGTCATAGCCCTGGATAACTTTTCTCTCCCGATACTCGTCATTCCCGAGCTCACACTGTCGCCTACATTGGCAACATTCGCATCCCACTCGACATGACACCAATAATCCCAGTAGTCACCTGGGATTCCCCCTTCACTCGGATACCCATTCACGTCAAGAAAATAGACTTTAAAGCATTGAGCACCTTGCCTGAAGATCCTAGACGGCCTAGACGAAGATCCTGGGGTTTCTCAATGGGAGTCATCACCTACAAATCTATCACACGACCAACCCTTATCTATGCTGCTCCAATTTTCTATCTCCTTGTCTCCCGCTACGCCGTAATCTTCAAAATCATCCCCATTATTAAGCGAAAAACACCTGATAACACTAACTACCCATGCATGAACATAGGGCATGCAGTTTAATGATTGAAGTTTCTGAGCAATTGGTGTCAGATTCATGGCAACAGCATTATCCCCACAAAGCTACACATAATATAAACATTCCATTCTCTGCAACAAAAAAAAACGCATTATATATCATTACATCGAATACCGCCACACACAATATCAAAAACATTACTTTCCCAATTATATATGTAAAAAAATGCAGCACTGAGATTCATCAACTATCGACACTAGTCCGACTTGATGTATTCTCACAAATACTACAGGCACAATGCGACATCCCATTATATAAACACGGTCCTTCATAAAACCAACCATGGCACTGTCGAGTTATTAGCTCCACCATCTGACGTTATTCCAGCTCTTAATACAAACGAACCTAATAATGCAGTTAGCACCTTCTACCTCTCACTATTTCATTTCAATTTCTCCTTATCCTTTCTGGTTGCCCTGTTGCACTTCTGTTGTTTACTCATCTTCCTTGCAACACTGCCATCATGAAGCTGGTCAAAACATCGAAATACTCGTCGGAATTTTTGCAGTTCAACTACAGAATCAGCAAACGACGTGAGGTTTACTAAGTTTTGTTGGTTTTGATTTTCCAGCTTATGATGGGTTATGATCGATCTAAATTTAAACGAGGGATACAAAATGAGATTACGAACAGCCATCAAAAAATTCTTCTTTCTCTGAACTAAATTACTGTCAACAGTGAATTTATTTTTGAAGCCATCAGCATAATGTTGAAGGATCAGGTCAGACAAATTTTTTCGAAACATTCATAAATGGATATTAAAACTGCTCCTGTTTTGAGCAAAGTTACGACTGCATTAAAATTTGCAACTTTTTATGCAATCTTTGCCAGCGATGGAACATTTTCTGAACTTAAGTTGCGATTTCTGGCTCAGATCCAATTATTAGGTAAGGGGAATATTTCGGACTAAAATCCGAAATTTTTACTTTTCCAGTTTTTATGCTCAGTATAAAAGTTCTAGAATCACTCTTTCGAAGAGCCCAAAGCAGTGTTTGTGCGTTCATTTGTTCGTTCACGATAGCCGTCGAAGAGTCGATAAAACCTATAGCGTCGATGATGAGAAATTTTAGTTATTTGCTCTCCTGAAAACTCGAAATTTTCTGATTGCAAACCTATCTCCTCCTATAATTTTCAAGCTACAGCTTTGAATTTACAACATAATACCATTCGATTTGTAAAAAATCTATTCCCTGGTCACTTTTTTTATTTCGTTCTAGTTTGGATTAAACATTGGACAAACGGGTGGGGGGGGGTCGAAAACGGAAAAAATCCCCCCTCACCAAAAGAAAAAATTAGGAAAAAGTGGTCGGAGGCTCGCTAGTTTTGTCCTTTTACAAATCGAGTGATATGTCTCTCGATGTTATAGCACGTCAATTGAATGATGAGTACCCATTTTTTCGCCGTTTTTCATGAATTTCACATTTATTCATTTTTTCGAAAAATTTACACGAACAAATAAGTCTTAGATTTCTATTTTACAAATGTGCGCCAAGTTTCAAAATGATCCGTCCGTAAATAAAAAAGTTCTTTTACTGAAATGCTCCCTCTAACATTGCGGAAATTTTACACCAAATCATCGAATCTCTTCATAAGTAAATCGAAACAATTCAACGATCCATCAGTAAGTATCCGCCGAATGAATACTAAATCTTAGTTGTAATGTAAAACCTGATTTCATTAAAGTGACTTTCTTTGGCTGCAGGTCCGTTGACAAGTCCAGTTGGAATTTGTGCTCTGTACCAATTAAATGTAGGCAATCCTCAGGAACCCCATATTCCGGACATTCTGATAACCCAAGAAAATGGACTGCTGGGTCAAGACTACGGTCTCTTCACCCTTTCACCTTACAAGCAATCGGTAGGTTTTTTATATTCATCTCCCATGTTTTTGTTACTAATATGTTTATTGGTTTTATACTGGAAAATAAAATACAGTTGGATATAGTATCATAAACTCACCATAATAACATGGCTCATAATAACATTAGCGAACGTTGGCTCTTCAGAAAGTTAGAATATAATCGCATGTGTTCCTCACTGTTGTATTAATTCTGCTCATGAATGACACTATTGCTATGATCATCACACCTTATTAGAATTACTTGTTTGATTGAATCTGTATTTTTCTTAGCTTATCTGTACATTTTCTTAACTTATTTAAATTTTATGTCGTTACTACATTGCGCTGTGGCCGCAAAAACCCAGGTTCGCACCCTGTTCAAGGCACCAATTTACGGGGAGATACCCCTAGAATAAAAAATAACAGAAACAAAAAATCAAACCAAAAACAAAAAATCTTTTTAAGAATTTGCTTGAGTGAACTTCAAGTCACTTAGGACAGTTCCGCAAGTTCGTCAATATTTGTACATCGATCTTAAGGGATTAGGTCCCCGAAGACCTACATACATATCAGACCACTGACCTATCAAAATTCCTACCGAAAGATACGTGTTTTAATAAGAACCGTTTGGTTAGTTTACTAGATATATGAAAATTAATTTACTAACGTAATAACTTGAGTAAAATTGGGAGCTAAGCTAAGAAAAATTACAGAAGAGATAGGACAAATACAGATTCGCTTAAACATATCATTCTAATAAGTTATGGCGATATACTATTTTTCGAAAGCTCAATACGTTCATAATTGTATTTACAGATACATGATTATTATCGACCGATCAAAGGAAGAGATGGTTTTTCTATGAGTCCGTGGCTGTCCAGACCAAAGAGCGTCGGGACGGTAACCCTCATGTCCAAGAACCCTTTCGACCCGCCCGTCCTGGATCACAATGCACTCAGTCACCCCGACGACTTTGAGCTCATGGTCAAAGGTGCGTGTCAGCAACAAAATGTAAGTACGTCGATAGTGTTCGTAATCTCGAAATTCCGTAGATCCGCAGTGTTTCACAAATGATATTTTGATTTAATCAAAAGTTTGATTTAATCAGTGTTTAACAAATGATATTTATTATTTAATATAACGCTTTCATTCGTTTTCCGTCATTTCTTTCTGCATGAAGCCACTTTTCGTTTTATTCCAAAGGAGATTCGTCTAGATATTAGAAATAAATAATACAAATTTTGAATGCAACAAGTTTATCTGACTTATTCACTTACGTAAGAATGTTCCAAGTCACGGAAGTAATTATTTTTTACTTTATTTTCTTCTTGTCTTAAAACCTTTGCCTGCATGGGTATAAACCTTCATAAATTTCAAAAACATCTCTGAAGGTTTGATGACTCGAGTTTAGTTACCGTGAGTTATAGCGCTCATAAGTAGAAGGTACGATTGAATGTAATCTTTTAATTCACTAGAGCGCGCTTGGTTAGTTTCGCAAGTTTCAAAAATAAGTAACGGTTGAGAGTTACAAATATGTAACGTAAATGTCGCTTATAGAGAATGTATCGTGGAAAACATGCAAATGACGAAGTTTTCATTGAATTTTGCGTTAGTAAATATGGTAAATGTGTTTCGATAGTAAAAAATAACATCCGAAGACTGCTTTAAACTTTGAGTAAATTCTATTCATTTTCTGGTGCTTGTGTTTATTGGATGCTATTAATAATAATAATAATAATAATAGCGGTTTCAGCGTTTAGTAGGCCGTAGGCCTGTCGCCGATTCTTAACATCGCAGAACATTCACAGCATTTTGAGGTCTTGAACTCGCAACTTACTGCTACAATTCTGCTATGCTTAACCGCCCGGCCTCCTCGCCGATTCTGACCAGAAACTGGCGCACAGAACTGGGATCGAACACGCGCCTCTCTGCGCCAATTTTGGTACTCTGAACTTTAACCACTGGGCCACCCTGCCTATGCTTCTGGGCCACCCTGCCAATACCACTGGGCCACCATTCATCGCTCCTGGATAATAGACATGAGCGAAAATGGTATACAGTTAAACTAGTCTTCGCGTAACCATCTTTTCCCAACTCCTCATAAGTGACGCGTGAAAAACAATATGCTGGCCCGCTCAAGCATTTTATAAAATGACGAAAATCGATGAGATTTCGTAAGAAAATAACTAGTATAGGAGTGAGCGTACCGTCACAGTTTGCATAAACAGCCAGTCTACCGATCATTTACCCCGAATCTTGCCAAGCAAAATTGACCAATTACCCCGGAATAAAACCTGGTCATATACTTACAATTTTATTTTGACATCAAAAATTTGAGCACTGTCTTACGACCATTTACCCTGAATCTTGACCATCAATATCATTGGTTAACGACTATTTCCCCCGATTGAGCAATCTTTAACCGAGAACTCAGGGCTTAACCTAGCGCGATTGCCTGAGCGAGTGTTTTGATGGAAGATATTTTTTGATGGGAGATACAATCACAATATTTTTAAATCACTGTCGATAGTAAATTTATAAACTATTCGGTATTAAAAACCTGGGACATAACCTGGGTAAGAAGAACAGCTGCCCATATCAGCTTTAACCTAGCTTACTCAACTAGATTGAAAAGCACCTCAGTTTAGCATAGTTACCCTACTTAATTCAGAACGTCACTTCATTTTCTTTTGATACAGCTCATTGAAAAAGTGGATTTTCAGCTATGACTCACTCATTTGGGGTAGTATCACCACCGTTCTCTCTCCTGCAACGACATTTTCATACCCATTAAAACCTTTGTATGGGCTTTCGAGTTCATATAATTTGCTTGTAATATCTGAAAATTCTTTGCCATCAAACTGTAGGTGATAGAAAAGGTAGATTTTACTTCGACTCGCAATCACCACGATGGTCGAGTGGCTAGTGACGCGTCTTGGTAGTCGCTACCCCAGGGTTCGATCCCAAGCACCTCATGAGGATCTTGCAGGTCTTACGTCAGTGGGCGGAGACATGGGAGGAGCTATGGGGTGGTGATTAACGAGGCGCGCGGTGTGCGCCACCGGTAACAATGCTGTCGGTGAATAACTATGCGCGCACCGCGCGCCAACGACAATTCAATTCTGTCGGTGATTATCGAGACACGCGGTGCGCGCCAACGAAGAGAACCAATATCAGTGATTGACCATGCGCACAACGCGCATAACATGAAAGATACTTTCTATGGAAAGTTGAATGCATCTGGATATGCAGCTAAGGGGAGCGTCTTGAGTCCAGAAAAACTTTTTTATATACTGTATATGGACGGATCACTTTGAAACTTGAGACACATATTTAAAAAATATGTAAATTTTTCGAAAAAAAATGAAAGAAAACGTGAAATTCTTAGAAAACGACCAAAAAAGGGGGTACTGTAGAAATCTATCTCCTCCTAGGATTTTCTAACTACAACATCGAGACGCATATTATTCGATGCGTAAAGACCATATCTATCGATTGGTGGTAGCTTTTTTCGGAATTCAAATTTTTGTGGGCGGGGTGGGCATTTTTCGTAAATTTTCCGTAGATCGAAAAATCGAAAATTACACCCCTTGTTTGATGATTTTAGGGGTAATAAGATGATTTTGGTACCGTTGAATTCGTCAATGTCAGCTCTAAAATGAACATAAAAACCGGAAAAGCCAAAATCATCGATTTTGAACAGACGCTCCTCGTAACTTCCGCAAAGTCGGAGCATGCATTACTTCACTGAATCAGTATAAAAATTCAATGTTAATATTTTATGAGCATATAAATGTATTACAATATCAGAATTTTTCAATGTGTTTTCAATTTTTTCTATATAAAATGAGGCCTGACGAATCATCTTATGTATGTCATGCGAAAAAAACACACCCTGAGTACCAAAACCTTGGGATAAATTTTTCAAGTAAAATGAGAGTTGATAAATCATCAAATGTCATGTGAAAAAACACACATTGAATGCGAAAATCATTAGGACTAATTTTTTAAGTAAAAAGAAAGCAAATATTGTCAGCTTGAACCATTGTTAATTTTTGGAACGCAGTAGTTAAAAACTTGAAGAAACAAACTGAAACTCAGAGGCATCGGGAAGCAATTAACAATTTGATCGTATCAAATGAATAATTCAATACAGAGACATAAAGTGTAATTTGCAATCGCGAATTGCAAAACTTAAAGAGGAATGAGCAAACAAACGTCTATAGAAAACGTTTAAAAATGATAGCACCATAGCCAGTTCCTTCTTTTATTGCAATCTTTGTAATTTAGAAGTGGACGATATTGGAGTACATGAAGATTCAAATTTGCGTTTTAAAAATAAACTTGAATGCATGCGAGGTGATATCAAGAAGGCTGTAAATGATAAATGCGCAGAACATACGTATCATGATATAAGAACGATAGATCCGAAGTTATTTCTCAAGAATATAACATCTGAAGTTATTCAAATAATTAGGCAGTCAAAATTCGATGATAATCTGATACATAGAATCGAAGAATTAATGAACAACTCTTCTGGATGGATAGTAAACAAGTTGCTAAACTTCACAATCAAAATTGTTGAATACAAACCTCTAGGAGGTTTTAGCTATATTTAATTACCTGAAAAATTGAGAAATCCAAAATATAAGTTAATAAATATTAAAAACCAAGATAAAATGTGCTCTAAGTAGACGGTCGCGCGCCACTTCTGCAGAGATGAAAAAATGGTAACAGAATAACGAAAATATTGAAGAAAGCTGAAGAGTTGGAATTCGCTGGTATTAAATTCCCAATGAAAATTAGAGACATCGATAAATTTAAAAATATTAATATTTCTATATATGTATATAGCTTGAATTATTGTTTGGAGCTATGCCCACTTCGAATAACTAAAACTATAATTAAAGATGTGGTTCATTATTGTTATTTACAAATGAGAATGGAAGTCATTATGTCTTGATGAAGTCTTTAAGTCCTTTTATTCACAAGGCGAGTAACATGGAACTAACTATGTTGTCCATACTGCCTGCACGCACTCATACGCGAAGATCTACTTGAAAAACATAAAGATGATTGCTCTGTTCACACACCCGTCAAATATGTTTATAGTGATGAGAAACTAAAATTCAAGGCCTTTCAAAAGACTATCAAGCATCCCTTTGTAATTTACGCTGATTTCGAATTGACTTTGATAGGCATTGATTCATGTCAACCAGACCCGAAGTCGAATTATATGCGGAATATTCAAAAACATGAGCCTAATAGTTTCTGTTGTTATACTAAATGTGAGGATGATAGGTACTCAAAGTTGGAGTTATATAATTGTGAAGATGCATCGGAGAAATTTGTAGAATATCTAGAGACAGAAACAAAACGTGCGTATGAATTATGATGTCGAGTATCCAAAAAAGTTTGTTATTATTAACTGAAAAATATGATGAACACAGATATGCCACAGTTTTTTATGTCTGTCATGAATAGTTTCCTAAAGAAAACTATAAGTTTAAAGATCATATTCACCTAACGGAAGACTATAAAGGACTATAAAGGTCTCAAGGGCAAAAGCATCTCAAGGGCAATTTTAAGATTAGAAATCCTAATTTTATTCCAGTGTTTATGCGTAGTTAATCCAATTATGATTCACATCTGTTTATTAAAGAACTTGGTAAAGTGTCTGGTAAAATACAGTGGGGGAAATAAATATTCGTACACTTGAAAAATCGTATTTTAATGTATGTAAGTACACAAACTTAACAGGAAAAGTGATTTAAGTTATGTATAGAGACGCATAGTATTCAAAAATACTATCAAAAGAAATTAAATCTCAATGCAACAAAAAACAATGCAACATGTTCACTTTTCGGGTGAAAAAAGTATTCGTACAAAACAATAAATCCGCATTATTTTAATTTAATACTTGCTTGAATACCCTTTATTCAGCTCAACAGATACCAAAATTTCTTTTGATAGTATTTTTGAATACTATGC